CCACCTAGTTTGGGCCTGGAGAGGGGCCCAAGGCTGGGCCCTTGGTGGCACCCAAGAATATTGGGGCCCAATTGAGCCTCTTGTCTCATGAAACATGTAGCACAAGGATAGCAGGGGGCTGCGGGTCGGGAGTGAGGGGCATTGGCAAAGCTGTGGGGGAGCCTCCTCCCTCCCCCACATCTGATCTCTTCTCTCTCTCTCTCTTCCTCCCCAGGGACGTGTGGCCGGGGGGTGGTGGCACCCAATGCCACAGCAGCCAAGGGCAAGATCGTGGGGGGCAGCGTGGCCCCGCGGGGCGCCTGGCCCTGGCTGGTCTCGGTGCGGCTGGGCGGGGAGCTGATGTGCGGCGGGGTGCTGGTGGGGGCCACCTGGGTCCTCACGGCTGCGCACTGCTTCGCCGGGTATGGCTGGGGCTAGTCCCAGGGGGCGCGGAGCGGGGGCTTCTCCCATGGGAGCACTGAGGGCAGCTGGCCGGTGCCAGCCCAGGGCAGAGACGGGCTGGGCTGCCCCAGCCACAGGGCACGGCTCCTGTGCAGCTCGGCTCCCAAAGGCAATGGGGCAGCCTCCCCCTCACCACGCCACCCTGCCCAGCCACTGCTCGGGCCTAGCCCTGCTGCCCCCTGATGGGGGGAAGGTGCCTGGCGCAGGGCAGCTGAGCCCCAGGGCGGGGAGCCCCAGGGGCCCAGCTGGCAGAGGTGCCTGGGGCCAGATCCCCTGTGGGGGGAGCGGGAGGGGGCCTGGCTCTGCCTGTGTCACGGAGTCCCCGGGCGATGCTCTGGAGCTGCTCCCCACAAAGCCAGTCAGGACTTTGGGGAGCCTCCTCGCTCTTGGAGCAGACTGTCTTCAGGGCAAGACGCTCACACGGCTTCACCTTCCTGGGTCTGACCTTGGAGCATTCAGCATCCTCTGCCCCTCCATGCGCTTCCCACAGCGAGTCCGCCCAGGCAGGGTCCTGGGGAAGCCAGAGGGTCCTGCACCCCCACTTCACAGTCCGACGTGACTCTCAGCCAGCCAGTAAAACAGAGGTTTATTAGATGACAGGAACACGGTCTAAAACAGAGCTTGTAGGTACAGAGAACAGGACCCCTCAGCCGGGTCCATTCTGGGGCCCAGCGAACCAGACAACCCCCAGCCAGCTCCAAACTGAAACCCCTCCAGCCCCTCCTCTCTGGCCTTTGTCTCTTTCCCGGGCCAGGAGGTCACCTGATCTTTTTGTTCACCTTTAGCTTTTCCCTTGCAGGGGGAAGGGCCCTGGCCATTTGTTGCCAGGATACAGAGTGTCGGCCATTTATGCACACTGGAGACTTAAGAAATGCATAGGGGAAACTGAGGCACTCACACAGTATTCAGAGGAAACATTAAGAACAGTCCCACTTCGTCACAGCCTGCCCCCCCTCATTCCCTGCTCCACCCCCCCGCAGGAACCGCAATGAGCTGGCCTGGACGGTGGTGGTGGGGGACTACGATCTCGCCAAGTGGGACGAGGGCGAGCAGGTGCTGCCCGTCAACCGCATCATCACCCACCCCAAGGTAAGAGGAGGGCTCCCCAGCATGTCCCCCACCTGCCTGCCCCAGGCGCCTGTGCCCAGCGTGCCACCTATCCCCCCTGCCCACCCGAGGCCCCGACTGCCCCCAGTATCCCACTCCCCCAGCACCCTGACCACCCCCCACTCCCTGACCCCCTGCTCCTCTCCCCCACAGTTCAACCCCAAGACCTTCCACAGCGACATGGCGCTGCTGGAGCTGGGGCGCCCGGTGGCCCCCTCGGCATGGCTGAGCCCGGTGTGCCTGCCTGACGGTCCCGAGGAGCCCGGCCCAGGGACGCCCTGCTACATCGCCGGCTGGGGGTCCCTCTACCAAGGTAGGTGGGGGGCGGGGCCGGGGCCAGTGCCGCCCAGCGCTCTCCTGCGCCCCCTGCTGGTGGGCCCCCTGCCAGGGCAGTGGGATTGGTCCAGGCGCTTTCCCTGCCGGAGCAGCGTCCTCTGGAGGCCAGTGGGCCCCAGCGACCCGGACATCTCCCCAAAGCTGGGACAGGGCATCCGGCATCTCAGCCAACCCAGCAGCCAGGTGCTGCCCTGGGCCAGCCCCGGGTGCTGCCCTCGCGCCCCCAGCACAGCTCCTATCTGCCCGGCCTGCCCCCCAGCGGGGATGGCCCTGGCGCTGCAGACGGGCCGGGGATGGCTCCCTGCTGCCCGGGCGCTAGGCCCAGGCACCGCAGGGGTGGGGGGCACAGTGGGGGCAGCAGCCCCCTCCCATGACTTGCTCTTTGCCCTGGCAGAGGGGCCATCGGCCGAGGTGGTGATGGAGGCTCGGGTGCCCGTGCTGAGCCAGGACGCCTGCCGCAGCGCGCTGGGCAAGGAGCTGCTCACCAATGCCATGTTTTGCGCCGGCTACTTGGCCGGCGGCATCGACTCCTGCCAGGTAACGGCTGGGGGGGTCCCAGGATGCCCCCTCCCCAGTGGGCCAGGCATGGAGTAGCCAGTCCCAAGGCCGGCGGTGCCACTGCGATCCACCACTGGGAGCTGGTGCCTGCTGGGGCTGGCACACACCAGGCTGGAATCCCTCCACTGAGCGTGACCTGCTGGCAGAGCCAGGCATGGGGGGGGGCTGCCTGGCTGGGGCAGGGCACAGCAGGGGGGCTCCCTTAATCTTGACCATTTAGGAGCCCAGGACTCCTAGGTCCTATTGCCGGCTCAGCTGCTGGCCAGGGCCTGCCTGGCTCCATGACTCAGTTTACCCTCTACCCAAAATGGCCAATGGCCGGATGGGGCTGGGTGGAGAGGGGCTTCCTAGGCCACGTGCTCCTGGGGGACCTTAGAACTGGTCCCTTCTTTGCCCACCCCTGCCCATGCTTCATGCCAGCCTGTGGCTGCTTCTCCCCCAGGGAGATTCGGGCGGGCCCCTGACGTGCCAGGAGTCCGGGTCGCAGCAGTCCGTGCTGTATGGCATCACGTCGTGGGGGGACGGCTGTGGGGAACAGGGCAAGCCGGGCGTGTACACCCGCGTGACGGCCTTCTCCGACTGGATCCGCCGCCAGATGGACAGTGAGTGCCATGGCCGGCTCAGCAGCAGGGCTGCGGAGGGCACGTGCCAGGGCAGAGCAGCCTGAACCCCATGGAGGAATAGGCATTGGCTAGCTGGGACCAGGCACTGCAGGGCACCGTCAGCCATAGGGGGGAAGAGGGCCCAGATGGCAGTGCCAGGGCAGGGAACTGAGCCACTAGGACACCTGAGTGTCTGTAAGCAGGATAGGAGGATGTGGTGGGGCAACGCCCGGGAGTCCCCCAGGGGGTGGTGCCAGGGGTCCCCCCTGGGGAGGGCTGGGGCAGCATGCGAGGGTCCCCCAGGGGAGGGGTGGGGCGGTGCCCAGGGGTGTGGCCCTTTCTCTCTGTCCCTGACACCTAGCCCCTTGCCCTCCCCAGAATCACCCGAGAGCAGAGAGCCCACCTGCTTCGAGCTGCTGGCCACATCCCAGCTGCCCGGCGAGCGCCAGCGCGCTGAGCTCGCCCACCTGTGCTCCTTCTATGCCCAGTCGTGCGCCCCGCCCCAAGGCCAGGCTGCCTGTGCCCAGGTCGCCGAGGAGACCTGCAGGATGAAGAGGAGGAGATGTGGTGAGTGGCGCTGGCCGGGAGGGGCTGGGCGCTGCCAGGGCGCAGAGCCTGTGGGCTGGGGGGCATCGGGCTGGGAGGCCTGGGACACACACCCTGAGCTCTTGGCGTGATCCGTGGCCCAGGGACTCTGACCCTCAGCACTCGTCAGGCCTCAAGCTTATGCCCACAACCTGGCACCAACCCCTTGCCCCCCGAGGTCAGAGCTACCCTCTGTTGCTCCCACCCTGCAGATGGGGCCGCCTGAGGGAAGGGCAGGGGGAGCAGAGCAGGGCCAGGGGGTGAGATTGGGGTCCTATAGCTAATGGGGCGGCTGATAATGTGCTGTAGGGGCTGAGCAGGACAGGGAGGGCACACAGGGTGCCCCAGGCCCAGGCCACGCAGCTAAAGGGACAAGGGCCTTGCTGAGTGAGGGCAATGCCAGCTGCTCTGTGGGCCCAGGCTCCGGGGGCACTGGGGGACATCCCGGTTGTAACAATGCTGCCTCTGGTGGGACACCACTGAGATACCAGTTCAGGACAAATTGCTTAGAGCAAGGCAGTGACAGCCCAAGACAGGGGTTGCTTTGCACACCAAGGCAAACCAAACCAGCCAAATGGAGAAGACTTTGGTTTTACCCCACTGGCTAACCATAAGTCTGTCACGGACTCACAGGTCGTGCCCACTCGTGGCCCCGTGCGGTCCGTGGGTGGGGGGTGCCCCTTTCAGTGAGACAGCCCTTCCCGGGGCTCCACTCTCTCTCGGGGTTAAGCTCCTCCACATCCTGAAGCCGCACCTCTCTGAGCCTTAGCACGTCTGTCTCTGCTGTGGGCCCCCTCAGGGAGTCCACTCGCTCTGGATCCCCGGGGCCTCCACCCCCCGAAGGGGACGATACAACCCTGTTCTCTAGACCGGAGTGACTCTCCGCCAGCGTAAAACAGGAGGGTTTATTGAGCATTTGAACACAGCACAGGAAACTCTCAGGTCCTCAGGCCTGGCCTCCCTCAGCACAGCACATCCCAGTCTTCCCTGCATCCAGGTGGGCTCTGCCTGCTCCCCTTCTCCAGCCCAGAGCCCCCCTGCTTCCCAGCTGGGCATCTGAGATCCCCGGCCCCAAGCCCCGCCTCTGTCCATTGTCTTCTCTCCAGGTAAACAGGGTCGCCTGGGCCTCCTCTCCTCACTTCTGTCCTCTGGCCCCCTCTGGCTGGAACTGGCTGGAACCTCAGGTCACCGGGGTCCTCTCTGCGCAACCCATTGTCCTCCCCCAGCCAGAACCTGGCTGTGACTCCTGAGCTGGGCCTCTGGGTTACCAGGTCACCAGTCGCTGGGGTGTCCATTCTCCAGGCCATTGGCTGGGGTCCCAAGTTCCCTCGCTGGTCCTCTGTAACAACAAACTCCCTCTCCCATCACCTCATTAAACCAGTAACACCCAGGGAAACTGAGTCCCACCCCCTCTGCATGCAAACCATTGGAAAAACAAGGAAAAAACAAGACAATCCCCCACTTCGTCACAAAGTCATACAAGCAATTCCCTTAGACACTCCAGTTTCCCAGTATCACCACCAGTGCCACTCGTTATGGAGATGACTGGTTATGAAAACCAATACCCCTGTAAAAGAAAGAGGTTCTCCTGATCTTAAAGGACCAAACCCCAGAGCCAGGACAAGTGATAAGTTAGATCTTACCCAAAATACACACTTATAGCCAATTCTTATTAACTAAACTAAAATTTATTAAAAAAGAAAAGAGAGAGAGTGTTGGGTAAAAGATCAATATACAGACAGACTTTAGTTCAATTCTTGAGGTTCAGGTAGTTGCCAAAAGTCCTTTTAGAAATAGTCCACAGGTTATAGTCCAATGTCCATATTCAGTGTGACAAAGCAAAACTGAGATGAAGGATCGGCGTCCCAGGATCTTTATACATCACCAGCAGCCTTTTGGCCTGAGAAAACAATAGGCTTAACTTTCCTTCTCCTAAACATCATGGCAATTAGCACAGGGTAATTTATCCATTAAACAGTTCAGATACAGGTTACCACAACCTTCAAAGGTTTTTAAGGTCAGGCTTGACAAAGCCCTGGCTGGGATGATTTAGTTGGGGCTTGGTCCTGCTTTGAGCAGGGGGTTGGACTAGATGACCTCCTGAGGTCCCTTCCAACCCCGATATTCTATGATTCAAAGAGACATAGCCAATAATACTATTTCACTCAAGTGTCTTCCTAAATGGTAATACTCCTTTTTTGATCTTTGAATCCAAGCCATAGTAATAGACAAGACTTGTTTGCTTACATCCCAAGACCTGAGTAAACAGCTCCTCTTCTACCTCTAACAATGCTGCATTTCAAAGCTCTATTCATTTACAGATCTTCCTAACTAGTCTTTAAAGTTCGGCCATGGGTCAGGTCAGTCTGGGAGGTAATTAACTCTTTCTGGCCCTGTCACACTCATAACATCACACCCGTTCCTCATAGAGCTGCGCTCCTACGCCCAGATGCTGCTGGATTTCCTGCGCCGGGCCGAGGAGTTCTTCCGAAACCAGGTGGACTTCGCCTTCTTCACCCACACCCTGCCCCGCTTCATGGAGCAGCTCTACGGGCACCTCTTCCCCGTCCGGGCTCGCCGGGCCACTGCAGGTACCTGCCCCACAGATCTGCCATCCCCTAGATCTCCCACCCGGGCCACTCCAGGGACCCCCCCCCCCCCCCGATCCCCCCCCCCCCCCCCCCGCTGCGCCATGGCAGGGAGGGCCCCCCCCCCCAGATCTCCCACATCCCCCGGCCAGGTCATGCCAGGGACCTCCATCACCCCGATCTCCTTCCTCCCCCACCCAGGCCACACCAGGGACCCCTGCCCCCTGGGTCTCCTACCTCCCCAGGCCATGGCAGGTACCAGCCCCCCACATTTCCCCCATCCAGAACATGGCAGGGACCCCTGCCCCCTGGATTGCCCACCTCCCCCGCCCTTGCCACGGCAGGGACTCCCGACCCAGACCTCCCATATCCTGCCTCTGGATCCCCACATCCCAGCTCTGTGCCCGCACGGGGATATAGGGGGACCCACTCGCTCTGCTTAGGGAACCTTGATCCCACCCCCAACCTCCACTGGGGGCTTTGGAGGCACTCCCCGTATGGGCTCCCCAATTGCCTCAGCTACAGCCTGGCACCTCCTGTCCCTCCTCAGCGCTGCAGGGTGCAGGGTCTTTCTGGGAGCCGGCTGCCCCCCCCCCCCAGCATCCAGCTGCCTGCACGGGGGCTGTCTCAGCCCATGGCTGGGCCTGTGCTGGGGCACCAGGCCAGCTCCCTGGCACACGCCCAAGGCAGCATGGCCTCTACTTGCCCCACACACTGCCAGCCCCTCACCCTGCCCCCCACGCCCCCCGCTGCCGAGACTGAATCCTGTATCGTCCCCCCAGGGCAGGGGGCCGAGGGGCAGGCAAGCCCTGAAGAGCTCCCGAGCACCCCCAGCAGGTAAAGCCAGTCCCAGGGCTGGGCGGGGCCCGGCGTGAGATCAGGGAGGGGGGAAGAGGTGCCAGCCATAGGGCGAGGGAGTGGGGGGAGGCGGGAGGGCAGGGCCAGACGTGGGGCTCGGGATCAGGGGCTGTGGGGGGAAGAGGCCTGTTGTGGTTTAGGGGGGACAGGCTGTGGGGCTCAGGCCAGTGCCAGGGGGCATGTGTCACCCCTCCCTCACCCCAGACATCCCCGCACAGCCAGCCGGCCACAGGAGCCAGGCTCCGCGGCGGGCACGGTCCCACCAGGCTGGGCGTGTGGGGGTGGAATTGACTCGAAGGGGGGCAATAGAGGGTTTGGCTGCAGGGTTACAGTCCCCTGGGCTGGTGCTGTCTGGCGCATCCCAGGGGCTGCTGGGACACCCCCCCCGCCCCGCAATGCTCTGCTGCTGGCCGTGGCAGGGCTGCATCTCCCTGCCCCTCACCCTGCCCCTTGTCGCAGGACCCAGCCCCCACCCTTCTTGGCGCTGTTCCAGGCCATGGGCCCCACGCTGGAGGACTGGGTGGGGAAGCTGAGCGCCATGGCTGGGGGCGACATGGCCCCCCCAGCTCCTGCACTGGCCGCTGGGCAACTCCGTGGGGAGGAGCAGCTCTTCCTGCAGGTAAGGGGGCGGGGGCTCTGATTGGGACAGGGGGACCCCCAGCCTCTCCAAAGAGGGCAGCACTGCAGCCTGAGGATGCCCCTGGGCACCTGGCCCCCCCACTCAGCTGGACCCCAAATCCAGCCCCCCCAGGCTGCTGAGGCCCTAGCCCTGGGGCAGGAACAGCTGTAAATCCCACCTGACCCCATCAATCCACCCTCTCCCTGCCTGACCTCAGCACAGATCCCCACACTCCCCCACCCCCACAGCTCCTTCCTGACCCCATCTTCCCCCCCACCTCATCTATCCCCAGCACAGGCCCCATCCTTCATCCCCACCCCCTTCCTGACGTCCCTGGCCCAGGCCCCAGGCCCCACAGCCGCAGGGAGCCTCCTGCTCTCATAGCGCCCAGCACTACCTGGGGTCGGTGTCGCTGGCATTGCCGACGGGTGCCCCCCGTGGCCCAGGCGGGCCCGGCTCACTCCCTGCGTCTCTCCGGTTCAGCAGGCCGAGGGGGCAGTGGAGGCGCTGAAGGGGCATGGCTGGGCCTTTCTCCAGCGTCTGCGGGCTGAGCTGGGGGCCCGAGGAGCAGGGCCCCTGCCGGGAGCTGCCTCCCCGCTGAACCGTAAGTGCTTGCGGCGGGGTGAGGTGGGGGCATGTCTTGGGGCGCTCGCCCCAGCTAGTTACTCGCATGGGGGCGGGGGGTGCAAGGCACAGCCGTGCCCGGTTAGATCTGCCATGGCATTGCCCTGCCTCATGCCACGGGGCCTGGCCCTGGACTGTGCAGCCTGGCCTCGGATGGTCTAGGGTGCTCCAGTGCCAGCTCAGGGTGCCGTTGCATTGTGTTGCTGGGGGTGCACTAGCAGCGTATGGGGACGGGGGGAGCCTGCCCTTTCCCCGCGGCGTGGTTGGAGCCTCTCTCTCTTTCTCTGTGGCAGGATCTGCGGCTGCTGGGGGCCCGTCCCTGCGGGCCAGGCGAGAGCTGGGGGGAGCCCTCCCCAGTGACGAGGGACCAGGCGATCGCAGAGGTATGCCCCTGCCACAGCGGTTGTGTGGCACAGGGCCCAGGCTCCCCCCGCCCAGGCTAAGGGGGGAGGGTTGCACTGGGACCCCTGCTGCAGCCAAGAGGTGCCTAGCCTCCACCATGCCCTGTTGGGACAAAGCCATATTGAGCCCACCCCTACACCCCTCCTGGCAGCTGGGCTCAGCGCACAGGGCCCCGTGCCACTCGGATGAGCCCGATGCCCCCTCCAGGCCTTGCCCTCTCCAGCCCAGGGGTACAGGGGCCAAGCTTACCTGTTCCCCCTCGTGGGTCAGGACCCCAGGGGTAGGGCTGTGCCAGGCTAGGGGGTTGTTAACCCCAGTGCCCTGGCCCCATGTGCCAGGTAACCCCCCTGCCCTCTTAGCTGGAAACAGGGTCTTTGCTCCCCCCACCGAATGGCTGTGTGACATTGCTGTGCACACTGGCCACCCTCCACCCCAGAGGTGGCTGCAGCGATCCTTGCCCAGCCAGTACAGCATGTCAAGCCCTTTTGGCCCCTTTGAGATGAAAGGCGCCAGGGAAATGCCAGCAGTTGGGTGGCAGGGGACAGGCCCGTAGGACCAGCTCCTGGCGCTCTGACTCTCCACCAGCCGGGGGATTTCGGGGAGTGCTCTGACTGTCCCTCCCCCCCTTGGCACAGGCTGCCCAGGGCTGCAGGAGGCAGCGCTGCAGGTACGCGCCGTGCGGGAGCTCTACCGCTGGGTCCTGCAGGTGCCGGAGCGGGACCTGGCCATGACCTTCCAGGAGGTGAGTGAGCCATGCCCCGCGGGGACGCAGGGAGCTGGCCGGCCGCTGTAGGGCCACTGCTCTGGGCCAGCCCCCAGCACCACACCCTGGCTCCCACTGGGCCCTGCAGGGCTGCAAGGGCTATTGCCAATGAGATACCCACCCAACAATTTCCCCACTCCCCACATTGCCCCCCCCCCCATGCCCCTTAGCACTGCCCCATCCCCTAGTTGGGGAAGGTCTCTGTCCCCCTCCTGGTGGCGGCTCCAGGTGCCAGCTGGGGGCTGAGCCATTTAGCCTTTATCTCCGTGCAGCCTGGGTTCAAACCCCACTGCCAGGGATGGGGCAGGCGCCACCCCTCAGAGGAGCCCTTGAGCCCAGCTCCCCTCAGGGGCTGTCAGCCAGCTGCAACCCACAGCAGTGGGGCAGGCGGCTTCCAGACGCAGGCAGGTCCCCAGCTCATGCTCAGGGCAGTTCTGCCAGCCCAGGCGTTGTGCAGCCTGGAGCACCTGCCGCCCCGGGTCACTGTGCCGCTGGGGGCTCCCTCGCGGCTCTGCGCCCCCACCCCCCCTCACACTGTTCCCCTCTCCCCACAGATCCTGGTGGACCTGGGCTCCAAGAACGCCAAGGGGCTGTACAGGGCGCGGGTCCGGGCCACGGTTGGCGGGAAAGCCACTGCCTTCCCCGCCCTGGTAGGGCTGGAGAGCGACTCGCTGTACCGCAGCATGCCCGGCCTCATCGCCTTGGCACTGGCAGCTTTGCAGACCTAACGCGGCCCCCGCTGCCCCCAGCCGGCCCCTGGTGGAGAGAGGAGAGCCGGCCGGGGGTCCCTACTCAGCGCCAGCCTGGAGACGTGGCAGCACCAGAGCCAGGCGCCGGCCGAGTCCCTCAGCACAGCAAGCAGGACCCGGCCTGGCACAGCCTGTTGCCATGGAGACTGCCAGGACCTCAAAGCCAGCTCCTCACAGCAGGGCCTTCCCTAGGCAGGGGGGCAGCCAGGACTGAAGGGGTCCCCTCCACCTCCCACGCACCCTGGAGTCTGGGCCAGCCCCCCAGCTGATGCAGGGGCTCCATGGGGCTGAAATGCAGCCCCCCCTGCACCTCATGGGGCTAAGGCAAACTGCAGCTGTGTGCCCCTTGGCAGGGCAGGGCCTGGGCATGGGCAGCTAGAAGGAACAGCCTCCCCCTGGGCTTTCCTTTCTTGGCAGAGCTGGGTCCTAAAGGGCTCTAACCCTGGGCCCCCAGGCCTGTTTCTGGGCCCCCATGCCAGCCCCAGCAGCTTCGGCTCCCTGTCAAACAGCCACCAGAGGGAGCCGATTCCTTTGGGGGAGGGGGTCTCCAGGCTACCCCTTGGGGGCACGCTTCTCGGAAGCTATTTATTTGTACAAAGAAAGGGTTATTTTTGAAATTAAATCTATGTTTTATGGTAAAGTGTCAGTAATAAACAAACCCCGCAAGGCGCCAAAGAGGGGCAGAGGGGATTTCACCCCCGGGCATTGCAACCAGGGAACCCCCCCCCCACCTGGGGTTCTACCCCCAAAGCATTTCAGCCGGGTGAGTTCCCCACCCAGGGTTCTACCAACTCCCCCACCCCTGGCATCTCAGCTGGGCGAGTCCCTACCCCACATCTCAGCCAGGCGGGGGCCCCTCTTGGGGTTCTACACCCCCGCCCCCCAGGCATCTCAGCCAGGGTGTGGCAGGGGGCAGCTGGTGGTCTATAGCGCCTCCAGCAGGTGGTGAGCATCCACCATTCTTCACAGGCAAACTCCCGCCAGGGGCCCTTCACAGGCTGTCTGCCCTCCATCCACACTCCCCCTGCCCCTGCTCTCACACCCCTCTCCCCAGCCTGGCCCTGCCTTCCCAGGTACCCATGAGAGGGTCCCCCTCCTCCCATGCTCTGGTGCTGCCTTCCGGGCTCGGGGAGCAGCTGTTAGCACCAGAGAGGTCATTTCCTCCAGGCCAAGGCCCAGCTGTCGGATGAGTGACGGAGCGTGCCGGCGCCACAGGGGCCTGCTCAGCCCGGGGGCACAGCTGTTCGGCCCTGATGGGAATGACGCCGCTTGCCCACAGCGTCAGAGACAGTATCCCCCCGCTTCCCCACCCCCAACAGCTACGTGGGCCCCTCAGTCAGCTCCTCAGGCATCCACTGCAGTCGCCTCTCACCGAGGGAGCGTGGGCTAGAAGTTAGAGCCAGGGATGGGGGGTCTGGACTCCTGGGTTCTGTGGGAAGGGGTGAGCGCTAGTCAGAGTTGGGGCGTGAGAGCCAGCACTCCTGGGCTCTCCTCCCAGCTAGAGCAGGGAATGTTGCCTAGTGGTTAGAGCAGGGACTGGGCTCCAGGACTCCTGGGTTCTCTGCAGCTCTCCCAGCGACTCACTGCTCTCCTCCTTGCGCTACATGTGGGGAAAATGCAGACCTGCACCACGGGTGGGGGACTCAGGACGTTAATGGCTAATGTACTGAGCTCCTCCCTGGACAGGGCTGGCCGCGCAGAGCTCCGGGATTCCAGGGAAACCAGCTGGACACCTGGGCCCGATTCCCCGAGGCACCCCACGCCCTGCCTGGCCAGCCAGAACCCGGTGCTGTCCATACCTGCTAAGCCAGGAGCTAGGCAGCCCCACCTGCACGGTACAACTCAGCACCCCAGGGCCATCCACCTCCCCAAACCGCCAATTCCTCAGCACAGCAAAAACAGAGAGAAAGGTACCCACCCTGCCGCACTCCGCGCTGGCCTGATGGAGGAAGGACCCATGGGCAGCTCCCAGGGAGAGCAGGCAGGGAGCCACGCAGCCCTGCCATGCTGGCTGCCCCATCCAGCCAACCCTAGCACCATGTTGCCTTCCACCACCTCCCTGGCGGCCAGAGCTCTTTGCAATCCCAGCCCATCACCTCCCCAGGGATCCCCGTGTGGCACCCAGAATGGGCACCGTGCATGGGGGGAAGGGAGCAGGGCTCCAGGACTCCCTGGCTGGGCATGGGCAAGGAGGTGCAGCTGGCAAGGGCCAGAGGCCAGGTGAGCCCCATAGGCTGGCAGGTGGGTGCCTCCCCAGATTTAAAGGGACAGGCAGCAGCAGGCAGGTATGCTGGGAAATGCTCCTCCAGAGCAGGAAGCACAGCCTAGCTGGACTGCTGGAAAGCCGGGAGCTCTGGGGGCTGACAGCTCTGGGGGCGAGGGCCAAGGACTGGGAGTCTGCAGGGCAATGGATCCCCGCTCGGCCTGTCTCCTGTGGGTGACACTAGGGGTGGGGCCTGCTAGGTGTTCCTCTCACCTCCTGCCAGGGCATCACACAAGGCCCTGGGCTACATGCCACATGCCAGGGAGCAATCCCACGCAGGCAGATGAGCGGGCAAAATGCCCCATGGTCCAAAGTGTGACGGGGCACTCTGCTCACCACATGCAGTGCCCCCGCCTGGCCGTTCTGGGGATTAGCGCTGCACGGCCAGCACCCCTTCCTGCGGTTGCACTCCGCCATGCTCCAGCTGCTTCCTCTTTGTGTCTCAGTCCTCTGGCCGGGTCCCAAAGCCCTGCCCCATGACAGGTCTCAGGCAGTCGTCTTCGCCACAGCCCTAAGAGTGCCGCTTCCCCAGAGGCCGCTAGGGGAACCCGGGCCTGCCCACTACGCTGGGCTCCAGTCCAGGGACCCTGTTTCTCCTTCTCTGGGCTCCTTCCTACAGCTTCCAGTTCCTCCTCTCTGGGTGTGCCTGCTCCAACACCCTCCTTGCGGGGTGGGGGTGGGGGCTGCAGACTATTGACCCCCCCCACCACCACCGCCTCCAATGCATCTCCCTTCTCCCAGGGAGGAGCTGAAGCTTACTTCCCAGCCGCCCCTTTCTGCTGCCAGCTTCCTGGCTTTATAAGCCCAGCCCAGCTCCTCCTGCAGCTGGACTTCATCCGCCGCTTAGACCTTAGCACGCCCTGGCTTTCCTCAGGGGTCGCCTATAGGTGAGTTGGCCTGATTCACCCCTTCAGGCCCTGTGTGGGGCGGATACCCTGTCGCACCAGCCCTTTCCACTGTGGTCCTCCAGAGACCCACCCCCAGGGCCATATGTCATCCCAGCCCTGCCAACGCTCCCTCCCCTCCCTGCCAGCTCCCCAAATTCACAGCAGGAAATGGAGCTGAACCACACAGAAAACTAACGCCAGCCAGTGCCAGACAGCGGGCAGGCAGGGCAGCCATGGCTTGGCCGGGGTGCCCATCTGGAGCCCCACTGCTCAGCCTCCCAGCCCTGTTGCCGGAGAGGCTGCAGTCAGCCCCAGGCGGGGGCTCTTTGTGGGGCCTGGGCAGTGGTGGCCACAGTCACCCCCAGGTGAGCTCTCTGCCTTGGGCTTGGAGCTGTTGCTTAGTACCAGTTGGAAGTGGCTGGTGTTAAGGGAGCAGCCCGAGGAGCTCTGCCTCTGCAGTGCATTATGGGTTCGGCTAAGATTTAATCACAGGGATTTTTAGTAAAAGTCACAGACAGGTCACGGGCAATAAATAAAAATTCATAAACTCCAGGGGTGCAGCTGCTGCTCTGGAGGGGGGGCTCTGGGGCACCCACTGGTGCTAGGGGGGGCTCCAGGGCACCCACTGGTGCTGGTGGCTAAGGACTGCCTCTGTTGTGGCGGGGGTGGTGTGGCTGGCCCCGGGGCGGCCCGAGTTACTTGATCGGCCTTGGGGGTCAGTCGCACCTGCTGGCTGTAGAAGTCCCAGAAAGTCACCAAATCCGTGACTTTGTTAGTCTCTAAGGTGCCACAAGTACTCCTGTTCTTTTTGCAGAGACCTCAGTGACATTATCTGCCCCGGGGCTGGAGCTCCCAGACGGCCCGCCGCAGCTCGCAGCCACGGTGGGGGGGATCCTACAACTCCCAGCCATGGTGGGCGGCGAGGGGACCCCACAGCAGCCCAGCCCCTATGGGCAGTGGGAGACCCCAGAGCTTCCACTTGTCACAGGTGGCAGAGACCCCCCCGGAGCCAGGCCGCAGGAGGGCACGCAGCTTGGCCCTGCGGAACAGACATCCGACCATGCCACACCCATCCCGTCACAGCCCCACAGTGCCAGGGGCAGGAGCCGGCTTTAGGGGACATGTGGGGGAATCTGTCCCTCATCCACCTGCCAGCAACTGCCTCTCCCCCTAGTGGGCGCAGGAGCCTCCCCTCCGGTACTACCCTGCATCTCAGCCTGGCTGAACACTGGCTTAACCCTCGCCTCTCTGTGCCAGCTGAGAGCTCTCAGCGGCTGGGTGCCCGGGGACTGGTACATGACTACCTGGGTTTGACAAGGCTGCCAGGGTTGCTGGAGCTTGGCACCTTGACGGGCACAGGCTGAGGCCCCGCAGGGTCTGGCTGGGCTGGGTTTGCTGCGGGGAGCCATGAAGCACTGGCCCCTGAAGGGCCAGTTCTGGAGTCATGGGGGCCCAGTCCTGGGGGCGTCCTTGGGGTCCAGCCCACTGCAGGGGGACACTCCCAAGGGACTGGTCAGAGGTCTAAGCCCTGGCCAGACCATGCGGATCCATGACACCCTCATCTCCTGCCCAGGCTCAGTCTCCCCCCTACCATGGCTGGGGGCTGCTGTTAGCCCGGTGGCCTGCCCCCCCACCCCCGTGATGGGGTGGGTCATCTGCCACAGAGCCCGGCTAGGGGACTGGACTGCGGCTGGAGCAGAGCAGCCCCATTCCCCAGGCTCAGTCCTGGGGGGCCTCCCCTCCCGCCCCAGTGTCACACCAGGACCCACTCCATGAGCTGATGGCTACCCAGCGCTGGGGCCGGGATGGGTGTGCTCTGCCCCGCAGCC